GTGTGCACTTGCTCACCTGATACTGCCGTCACATGTGCTTTGACCAGTGCTTTTCGAACTTCAACTCCGAAACGAATAAACAATCGAATTTGGTGTCACCCCGTCACTACCTAATAGTTTTTTTTATTACATACCAGTGTGTGATGAACAGCAGATGAAGCGGACCCCACAGTCACGATGACCTGCTGTTCAGTGATGGCAACCGATAACCTGATCCCCAGGACTTGGAGTGGGGCGAATCCCGTAATGCCCCGATAGGTCAGGAGTGGTATGGAACCGGACGACAGCAAAGCTGCCTACCACCAAGGTTGGGTGGCGGTGGTGGGACTCGAACATCGGACTATAAGGTCCAAAGTACGCCAGTGACAGCGACTAAACTACTGCGCCACCACTACCCAACTGTCAGACAGTCACTTGCCACATGTGCGTTTTCTGATTTGTTTGTGTTTACAGGATGTAGTGTGATCATTAAAGGGATAATGTCACCCACCTACCCTCCTCCTTCCTGACTGTCTGCCCAGAGTGAACAACATCCGGACTTTCGGAAAGTAGCACAAAACGTGGTTAAAACACAAAGTCAAGTTGTCAGTGCGCACTTACCTTCCTGCGATTATTTATTTACCCATGACATTTCGATTAAAACACAAGAAAATTGTATCGGTTTCATCAAGACGGAATCGGCTTCTGATTGCTCTTTTCGTCTGATTGCAATGGTCCTAACCGGAAGGTCACTCGCATAACGGTTGAAATTAGTCTTTGTAGCATATTCTTCTTTCCGTATCGTACAAATCCGTTTCATCCAATTCGGTAGCTCATCACTTGTATCTTTCAAGGGCTCCATGTTGTAAATGTAAATGTTTTTTTACTTCCTTTTTCTATTTATTGAATATACAAATGTACAGTTAACTTTTAGGAAGGGGGCTGCGGCCATACAAAGGCTGCCTGAGGAAAATACAGATCGAGGGAAGTGTTTGATAATCTGGGGTGGCCCTGTTACAACTAGACACCGCTCGCGCTGAAACACTATACTCCAGTTTATGAGCCATCTTTTATAACATCTTACCACCTGCACCGTACCCCGGAATTTTCGCTGATACCCTTTACTGTGTAATCGGCCATTCTCTTCGTATAATGCAGGACTAACCTGTAGTGTTTCCATACGCTCACCCAAATGGAATATGTGACACGGGTTATGATAGGAGAGCCACCGAGTCAGTGTCTATGGTGGAGAATCAAATTGCGTTCTCCATCAAACCCGATGGCGATGTTTACTTCTGAGGTTATTATTATTATTATTATCTTCTCGTCTGCGTATAGACTGTGGCAAGCAAATCATGGTACAATAATTTTTATTAGAAAGAGAAGAGTCCAGGATTTGCTTTTGGGCGGAATACTCCCAGCATGCCCGAGCCAAACCAGGTGAATATTCCCGGGAGAATTCACAACCGGAGTCTTAGAGTAGCCAAAATCTGACCTGTAAGACAGCGGGGCGATGTGAAAACCGCAATCCATTGGGGACCGGTGTCCAGTTCATCGGGTCATGCGCCCCTTAAACAGGGTCGAACGTGGAAAGTCCCCAGTAATTTTCGAAGCCCAATCGAGCCGTTGACCACTGCCACGAGGAAGGTGTGTATGGGGGGGGGGTTCGTACGCCTCTTCTTGGCTGGTTTGTTTTTGGGATTTTTAACTAACTGCCGACCCGGTTATGGCCCCAGGCGTTGATTTCTCGCCCGCTCTCTGTGATGGGGAAGTGCCTCCGCCACGTGAAGGCAACGTGTGGAGCTTCCCCAAAGGGGGCTATTTGAGACCCTAGACCGTATAGGAGCATTTTGCGAGGTTCTACAGTCCAGAGACTTGACCATTACGGAAACAGGATAGAAATAGGTTGCCGGTGTTCAAACATCGCTTCCTACGCCGCATTGTACGAGTCTGATAGGGAAACCGGACGAGCAATGCTGAGGTTAGGCGCAGAGTTTTAGATAATCGCAGTTGTCCACTGGAACAAGTGGTCGACTTACATAGATTACGCTGTTTTGGGCATGGGTTACGCATGCCATCAGATGAGTCGCCATGGCGAGCGATATTTGCCGAGACTGATAGTGGGTGGAAAAAAGCCAAGGGTGGTCAAGTTAAGACCTGGCACGAGGGTATGAAAACCCTTCCCATGGGACCTCGGGATGATCGTAACCGACGTTCAGAGACACTGAGTTATATGGCTGGGTG